CTAATGAAATAACTGATAATTTTCCTAGAAATTAGTGCCCCATCATAAGATTTTCAATGATTACTTGCATTTAAGCAGTTTATCGATAATTTTTATCACATAGTTTGAATTATTTCAATTTGAGAATCCTTAAGCTTCACGAGATATTAATACTGCCTTGAAACCAGCATCAGTCTTGAAAGTTATGATAGAAAGATTAATTGTAGTCAAAGTACTTGCAAATAATGGAAAGGCTAAATTAATGACGAATATATGAAATATTTTGAGACTAAACTGCAAAACTTCAAAAGTGTTACAAGTACGTTAATTGCTATAAAAATTGATTTGAAGTCAGGTTCAACCTTCCTTTATTTTGCTTCTTTATTCATGAGATGCTTATTTTTGTGAGATTATTATTGCTTTTTAGAACATATTATTTAGAGCAAAATACAGTTTGAAAAATTAAAGTACGGTGGTTCACATGTTCTAGAAATTGATATCAGAGCTGCATATATTTGCAAGGCATTTCTCTCTGTCGTTACTTCCAAACCATTTTGGAAATTATTTTTGAAATTAAATCCACCTTTCCCTCGAAAAAAATTACACAGTAACAATTTGATTAAAAGTGTCCACAGAGCATATTATCGTCTGCACCAAATAAATAACATACCGCTCCCCAGCGTTCTCGCAAAAGTTTGAAAAAGACATGTTCACGACAGCCATTTTTTCCAGGTAATAGCTGATCAAAGTAAGGTCGATGCCAACGTGGGTTATGACCTCTCAGCCAAATGCATGGACCCCAACTTGTCCACTGGGCGCAATTATCAGCTTGTACAGCATTTCCAAACATGGCTGATAACTGTGCATCTGAATTAACATATTTCTCAGAACAATCAATTTTATAAAATTTCAAGTTAGCTAGCGGCTTTAGACATAAAAATATTTATTTTCCAACAAACTAAAATTATCTATTAGCCACAAATATCTATCTTAATACGAGTCTGAAGAGTTCAACTATCCATTTTTTCTTTTTTTTGCAGAGAAATGCAATACTTTGACCGTAAGATCTACTCTAGTGCACATAATTAAACTATTTATTATTTAAAACAGAAGGACGTTAGCAATGCTTTGCTCAATTTCATAAGGTCGAAATGACGTGAGTTCACAATTACTTTTTGAAACAAAACTGTGACAAGTCCTAGTTCAGTTTCAAAGTGAAAGTGACCAAAATTATTGCGAGAAATCTAATAATATCAGAAGCCAGTGCTTACTATTTTTATAGAAAGTAAAAAGCTTTGACAAGTTTTCCAATTTCTCAATTTTGCTTAGGAATAATTATTTGAATTGACAAGTATCATGTCATTCAATTTTATTTTCTCTGTATTTCAATTTTTATTTAATAAACTGGAATTGCTAGAATTAGGAGGTTTCAAATTGCGAATTATAAGCGCAGACATCAATGAGGATTTTGTACTGAATTAGGCAGAACTTTTAAAACTGTAATCAAATAACGGCTGTGCTCATCAAGTACAGTGCCAAAAAATTAAACTTTCATCGCAAAAAATACTGGCAGCACTTTAATTTAAGTTTTTAAAGTTTGTCACAAAGTATATGCAGTAATTCAAACTTTTTTAACTAAGGTCAACAAAGTTTATAAGAAAAAGAGTCTGTTCAAGTAAGTAACTTGAGGCAGATATATCTAATATATGGAACTAATTGCGAACGGTCAGATTCATTTCTGCGATAAAGTACATAATTTGAATTATTAGTACGAAATGAAAGAAAAGAAAAAAGTTGAAACAAACCTATGCCATTGCTGCAAAAGCTTAGAATAACGAATATAATGGAGGAAAATGATAGATATGTCATTAATATCTGAAATAATTGCAATAACAATCACGTTTGAGCACATAAAATTCGAATATTTTTATATAGGGGAAATGAGAAATACTTAACGACAACGTGCTGATTTGTGATAAGATGAAACGATTAACGCACGAATATAGAACACTCAGTGAGAGAATGTTTTTAAGGAAAGGTAATGAAAATAAAAATGCAATTTGTAACAACATTATCATTGTCTTTTATAGTAGAATATATA